AAGCCAATATGATCCTGTTCATACAAATACTATATATATTGAGATGCTAGTTTTTTATTTTATATTTTTTGTTTTCATTTTTGTTAGTTTTATAAATGTAGTTTTTTAAAATATACTGTATCTACATAGTTTTGTAAATTTTTATAACAGTTTTAGTTATTTTAATACATCAAGTTAAACTAAATGAAAATGAAAAATGTTGCCTTGACAACTATGAAAATATATACACACACACACACACACACATTAATTTATATTAAATTTATTATACTTTATACTAAGTTTTTATTTTATCTTAAGGAAAAAAAATTTATTATTTTAGTTTTAAGTTTTTTTAAGTTTTAGTTTTAATTAATTAACTAATAACCCTGATACCTGTGACTTGTTTTCTTCTATGGGACACAAAAGCTGACATTTTAATGAGTTTTACTGGTCGTTCCTTTCTATGCTATAACAGTGAATAGAGACTGAAGCTTTCAAGCATCAAGCACATATCTATAAGTCTATACAACTTGTGCACTGTATTCCAAGTTTTCTGAAGCCATATGATCTAAATAAAACCTGTTATTCAATAAAGATCTTGAATCTATGAGAGATGGATGAATGAGTTGATCCAGTTCACAAAATGATTCACTGAATGATTCATTCACAAATTGGACTGATCTAGTTCTCAAGTTCTCACTGAGTGATTTGTTTGTTAACAGTTAACAGTTACATTTCATTGTGTATTTTATGGCTCCAGAGGACTTTAAAGTCTAGAAAAGTCCTTATTTGTTCCTCAGAAGAACATTCAACGATTTTCTAAACTATAACAAGCAGAATTTCACAGGTGTTGTTTTCTGCTTTCAAGGATGGAAATGGCTATATTGATGAGCAGGAGCTGGATGCTCTCCTGAAGGACCTCTATGAGAAGAACAATAAGGTGAGAATTATTATAGCATTTGACAATGACAGATAAGGAACGCAATTCCACAAATTGTGATTGTGTTTAACCTCAGGATGTGGACTCTAAGAGCCTGACTGGTTATAAGCAAAGCATCATGGCACTGTCAGACGGGGGAAAACTGTACCGCACAGAGCTGGAGATTGTCCTTTGCCGGGAGCCCATGCTGTGAATCGAGGCTTCCTGACCTCCATCTCAGCTCTGTTCCAGCTGCCTGAATACTGTAACTGTGTGCATGTGCCGGGCACCCCGTTCCCCTCCCATCCCCCTCTCGAAATGAGTTCTGAATGAGTGTGCACAGAAAAGCACAAAGTCTCTCCTCTCCCCTTCTTTCCTTCCCCTTCCCACACCCCGATCGCCACTGCTTTCCTTTGCCTACAAACTGCAACTACTATGATGCCCTTTGCTCAGATTTTAAACTATATATTTAAATAAGAATCTTTCTGAAAGAGTAGCAGACTAATGGTATAATATGGTTAGATATGTGATATATTTATTTGGAGTGCTTGGCTTCAAATTCTTCTTCTGGTTTCTTCTCTTTCGTTTGGTTTCCTCCTCAGTTTGTTATTGACCTCATTTCATTTCATTCCTGCCCAGTTATGTTTGGGGTTGTGATGTTTTTTGGCTGATACTGTTTAAGGATGTAACTAAGAGCATTAATAAAAGTTATGTGATATACATTTTGTGTTTCATCTCTTTTGTTCATTCTAGGGGAAAGTTTTTTTGTTTGTTTGATAATTCAGATGCTTGAGAATGCATTAAAATATATACAATAGCGGGAACATTCCTTTTACAGAACAGAACATCCTTCATTCTTTAAAAATGGCCTTTGTCACATGTAACATCTTATCCAGGCAGTCAGCTCCTCTGTGACATGCTGGATGGAGACATCACATTTCAAGTAAAAATCATTCCTAATTGTGTCCAGATGCTTTTAAACCACATTAAATAATTTATCTGCTAGACTTTTCTCTTACATAACAAGAGTTTGTAAAAATTCCTATCTATTAATCATCAGAACATGAATAATTTATCCAAATGCAGTTTTGGTTTTATAAATGGTGATTCTCTACACTGTTTGCACTGACTGTTAACATTGCTTTGATATACACTGATAATTGTGTGCAAAACGTTTAACATTCATCTAATTTGACAAATTCTAATCTATTTAACATTCTATATAATATTTTAGTTCTGGAAAAAAACACATTCCTGTATCTGAAGATGACTATTTCAAGTAAAAAATACTGGTAAGTTATTATAATTATTTTCTTAAACACTTATGCATACAAAAAAATAAAAAAATCTGAAAATAGATTTTTTTTTATCATGCACTCAAGTATATGCTAAACAGTTTCCTCAGCTCTAAAAATTTTGCTTTTAAAGATATAAAAAGCTTTGCCCTCCCCTTTGTACCTACTGAATACAATTACCAGAAAGCATTCACAGTCTGGTATAATGTCTATATTGTAATTGTCAGGGCAATTAATTAATAAATGAAGAGAATTATGTTCTTTTATTAATGATGTTTAAATATAGCTACTGTGAATTTAATGAGGAACTGAGAGTGGATGGCTCAATTCTCCTCTATAGCATTTCTACACTACACAAAATGGGAATGAGTCTGTGTTCGTCAAAAAGAAAACATTGTTTCCTCAAGGTAATCGATGCAAATTGAAAATCCCTAATTTTAATTTGGAGGCCTTTGAGATGCCTTTCAATTACCTCAAGCATCTAAATGCATTTTAAGACTTGATGAAGCTGATCCAGGTATAAAAAACATCTAATGGTGCATCAACAGTTCAAAACAGCATTTGATTAAATTAATATTTGCCCTAATTCATAAAACTTTGGTTACTACTGCAATTTTCCCCATTACTTCTGTGTAAATGAATAGATCTCTTTCAGCTGAAATTGATGTTTTTAGGAGATGCTTGTAAAAAAAAAAATAATAATAATAATATATACATGACTGGATCATGTTGTAAATACTCGAAAATAATATTTCAGTCTTCCTACGTCAAAATTTCATGTTTAATTCAATGTTTTTGCTGCGTCTTTGTTATTATAACCTTTATTTTACCAGGAAAGGAAGCACATTGAGATTAAAAATCTCTTTTACAAGAGGGTCCTGGCCAAGATTGACAGTAACACAGCTCACGTGGGTGTAACAAATAACATCCATACATACATACACACATATAAGTTAAATTATATCAGTACATATCAATACATAACTAGTCAAAACATCTACAACCCAATGTTTCCTTTTCCAAATTATTTAAAATCTCTTTAAAAACGTCAAAAAAATTGTCTTTATTTGTGATACAAGCAAGCAATTTCTGAGTGAAAACTGTTTCACCACCTTTTTTTTTGTCAGTGTACCGAAGTAATTTTCATTTAAGTAAACTAATCACATTAACAGCAGTAACCAAAACAAGTGAGAATACACCATACACAGGCTTAGAATACACTTTCTAAGTTATGCCTCAAAGCTCAAGATGACGCTCACAGCAACAACAAACTAAGACAAAGATGCTTCAGTTTATCTTCCCTGGATCTCTTGCGAGGCAAGCGATGTTACCACTGAACCACCAATGCGCTCTGCCACTCAGCATATGCTAACATAATTAGAAAGGCCTTTAATGTCCTTGAGGCTCATTGTGAGCCTCATAAGTCTCAGAAAATTGAAAGCATAAAAGGGAAAAGGGGGGTGGTGGCTAAGAGGACAAGCAAAAATGTGCTTGAGTGGATGTTAAAGGGGTCATATGATGCCCATTTTCCACAAGTTGATATGATTCTTTAGGGTCTTAATGAAAAGTCTGTAACATAGTTTGGTTAAAATTTCTCAATGGTCACTTCTGTTAGATACATAAGAGTTGAGGCTCACAGATTCATTCTTTACTTGCACAAACACCTGAAAACATGCCAAGCATTCCTGGCAGTAATCGTAAAATTAATTTGATATGTCAGCAAAATATGTAATATGCCAGTATTTACAGCAATTAAACTGCAGGGCGCAACAACCGTAGGCAGAAGATCTGCTATATTAGAGCTGCAGTATAAAGACATCATCCTTTATATCCCAAGACAGGTTTGCAAGAGGTGAGCCTTAGGCCTATATTTGCACTTCTTTAAATAGCCAGGGTTCACGCATGCCAAAAGTGCTGCGATGTGTGGCGCAACATTGACTCCAAGTGGCCACTTATTATAATTGCACTAGTATGGCAATATGCATATTGCTTCACTTTAATGCAAGTGTTGGATCTCAGATCACTTGTAAATTCTCTGTTTTTAGAGCAAAATTGAGAACAACAAAGCTTGTGAAGACTGAAGAAATGTTTGGACCTATACCATGGAAATGCTGTAGCCTATATAGTATACACATTTGGATAAAAGTCCCCTAGGGGAGCTGTAGTGAATACTGCCTATAAGACTAATAAAGATCATTTTATTTATGATATTTTATATTTTATTACTTTTAAAATAAGATACATTTGCACAACATTTAAGGTAATACTTCAAATTAACCACAAAAGACGTACAATTATTTTTTTTACATAATACCTCAACAACAAATCCAAACAGCCAGGACTACCATCCTCTTTCCTTAATGTCACCCCGCTGGGAAAATAAATAAATAAATACAAAAGCCTTTGCTGGATGGCTGGTCTTAGCTGGTTTAAGCCAGTCAAGCTGGACTCCCAGCCTGGCCACGCTGGTGTTTTCTGGTTTTAGCTGGTTGGTGAGCTGATCTCACAGCCTGACCAGCTAAAGAAATCAAAAACCGTTCTAAAACCTGCCTGCTAAACCAACTATGACCAGGCTGGAAAAACAGGTAAAATCAGCCAACCAGCATTTTTTTTTTGTTTGTTTTTTTTTTGCTTTTTTTACCCAGCAGGGATATACAGACAAACCACTTCTTCAATCTAGTATTAATCTCATTAGACCAGTTGCTTGTCCAGTCCTCTAGCCCACGTCTCAGTCCCATTCACACCTGTCTCATTTACTGCACTACCTCTTGTCTCCAGCCGCTATGCAATACAACGTCCTTGGAGGCGCTATAAACAACACAAGCAGCTGACAAGTTCAAGTCGCCAGCTAGTGTGCGTTTGTCTTCCACCAAGTCATCTGCGCTTCCAGCAATGGCCCTGCTGAAATCCACCAAGATTTTGACTAGTGTCGGGGCTCAGGCCCCTGTTTTAGCAGTCCTACAACTCCGTGCAAGGTAACTTGAGACTTTATTTTTCTTTTGTAAACACTCTGTTGCCAAGTTAGCTTGTGCTAGCAAGTTAGCGGACTGAGCATTAGAGCAGCACAGCACCGTTGAAAGTTACAGTATGCCACTTTACTGTAACACATGAAATATTGCCCTTGTGCTGATAATGAAACATAGTTATAAATGCATTAATGCCTTCGATATTTAACGAGAGTTTTTATCTTTCAACAGAACTTACTTAAACAGTTATTTAGTCAAATTTTGCCAGGAAAAGTTTTTGAATTTTTATCACGTTGATGTAAAAAAATATTGTGTGATATAACTTGTGTTTGTTTGTTTGTTTGTTTGTATGCTGGTTTTTATTGTATTTGTTATACTTGTATTTTTTAATTGTTTTTGCCATGAAAATAGCCTTTGATGCTAACATGGCATTAAATATATATATATATATATATATATATACTACTTTACTTTATCTTTCAACAAGACATTTTAATACCATATGCTGACGGTCAATGTCAGAAGTTATTATATCATGAGATCAGCAGATTGACGAGATATTTCAGATATATCAGGTTCAACTAGGCCTAACTGGCTACCTCACCTAGGACTAATCTAGGTCTGATTCAGGGTTCATAGATTTTTCTGTGTCAGTTTGGTGGTATTATAGCATGATTAGTGCGAGTTAAACAAAGCAGCCACCTTAGAAGGATTTTTATTTCTGTTACTGCTGTTTCTATAAGTGAAAGTATTAAGTTACATCAATAACCACTGTTGCTGCAGGTTGCCAGGCACCTAGCTAGGGTACTTAAAACATTTTTTTTTTCTTTTATTCATTCAAAAAAAAAATTTTCTCTGCTAATTTTTATCTACTTGTTCAGTCATTTGTAATTTTCTCTTAGCTTTTTGTCAGCTTTTTTTTTTTGTCAGTACATTTAAATATTTTACTTCAAGAACATATTAATTCATAAATGTATTCATTTTATTTTATGTGCTTATTTTATTTACTTTGTTTTTATATCCGCTTATTTTATTATTTTTATCTACATTTCCTTTTTTTATTCTTCTTTTTAACTTTTAATATTTTGATAGTTTTTTTATTTGTCCGTTTTGGATTTACTTAAATATATGTGACTGAAGTTATCTGTGACCTGAGCAGGAACATGATAAAAAGAACATGCTCTTGTAACGCCTCATTAAACCTACTTCTTCCAAACTGGCCAATCACTACAGCCCGTTCTCAGTCAGAAACATGCATGTCTACATAAAACCCCAAATGCTCCTTAAACATTACATTATTGTAATTAATTAATGTTGTGCATGTTGTGTTTTGCTTGTTGTTGAGGATAAAAAAGTAGCAGTGTGTCTCAAATGCAAAAAAGTGAGAGGAGCAACTGTGCACGTAGTACGGTTTTTATTGTAGTTCTAGTTGCTGATCGGTACAAGGTGATTGACATTTAGAGCCGGGTTGAAATGGGTAGTGTGTGAGCATGACGCATGATTGGTTCTGATGCAGAGGGTGGAGTGCTGTACACCTCTTTTCATAGGAGTACTGCACTACTTTATGTAGGTGGGGTTTAGATTGGAATTATACTCCCATTTCACACGGGTAATTACAGGGGTGACCTATTGTTTGCCTGTGCAAGCTAACAGGTTCTTTATTTAGAAGGACGTGGCCATTCTGAAAGTGTGTGCCAGACATCCATCAGAACAAATACAGGCATGCAACGTGCTTAACACTAACAGTAGAGGAGATTTTAAACTCCAGGCTTGAGTTCAGACATGACTGTAAGTCTCTTTAATGGTGGTAGAGGAGTTTAGCAGTGCAGTTCAAGCTTTTAATGACTTTCCTTCCGGTTTAAAGAACAGAAGCTCTGTAATGATAATCGCCTTATAAACTTATCCAGCTTGGAGAAATTTTAATGAGACGTCCTAAGAATGGGTAGATATTTCTCCTAATGTATACGCAAATTGGTTTTAGAGTCAGACAGTGTAAAGACAAGGTGGTCTATTTTTAAATATTAGGGATATTTGAACTTAAGTCTTTGGCACTGCTCCACATTCTTTGGAGTTCACGCGAGTGTTTGACCTCAGTTACTTCCAAAAGCTTATGCAAGACTGAAAGTAAAATGTAACAACTTTTAAATATCAATTAGACTTTTATATATCATAAAAAATTTCAATCTCAATTTTAAATTTCCTATGACAGTGTGCAGTCATAACTATTTGACTGGAGCAGCATACTTGCACTCAATAGTTAACGTAAATGAGTATTCTTTTCTTTTTTTTATTCTCAGCTCATGGTGGACTGAGGTACAGATGGGACCCCCTGATCCCATCCTGGGTGTCACAGAGGCGTTCAAGCGTGACACCAACCTCAAGAAGATGAACCTCGGAGTAGGAGCTTATAGAGACGATCAGGGCAAGCCGTTTGTTCTCAACTGTGTCCGAAAGGTGCCATCTTGCATATCTTACACGCCTTCAAGTGATAGTGAAAATTCTGTTACATTTAATCACCCTCAAGTTGTTCCAAACCTGTGTACATTTCTTTCAGCTGTTGAACACAAAAGAGAATATTTTGAAGATTGTTGGTAACCAAAAAGTTGATGGTAGCCATTGACTTCCATAGTCTGGGGAAAGAAATACAATGGAAGTCAATGGCTACAAGTGGAGGGTGAGCAAATGACAGAATTTTCATTTTTGGGTGAACTATCCCTTTCAATATAATGTAACAATTGGCATACATTATGCTATTCTCTTGTTAGATTCCACTCTGGTTATACTATTTTACCTTCTAAAACTCTTCTAAACTCTTTTTTGTTTTATAGCTGGCCTACATTTAAAACGGCAATTGTCCATAATGCTATCCATTTCCAATCAGCCAAATAAAGTTTTTATATTCTAATCCCTGCACAAAACAAATGACAGATTTTTGGTATTGTCAGGCTGAGGCCCAGATTGCTGCTAAGAAGTTGGATAAAGAGTACCTTCCTATTGGAGGGTTGGCAGAATTTTCAAAGGCCTGTGCTCAGCTGGCTCTTGGACCTGATAATGCGGTCTTAAAGAGTGGAAGAGTAAGTACTTTAAAGCAAACCATTTTGAAAGGAAGTCTTTTGATTATTCAATTATTAGATGTTAATGCACAATGATTGTTAATTGCCAGATTTCTGTGCCCACAGAGCATCACCGTCCAGACTATCTCTGGAACTGGATCTCTACGTGTTGGTGCTAACTTTGTGGTATGACATTTTCATATCATTTTTTGCTTGAACTTTGAGTTTGTAATGCTGTGTTAGGCCTGATTGCTTCATTTCGAGACTCTTTTTTTTATTATTTAAAATAAATTATTGAAATAATGTGATCACTGTTGACTCTATTGCTATGTCTGGTGGTTATTGATTGTAAGGGGGTTAAATGTATGAAATGTAGTTCACCACAAGTAGTCATCTCTCTCTCCATCTCTCTCACTTTTTCTTGGCTAGTCACGATTCCACAATGTGTCCCAGGATGTGTACCTGCCTAAACCATCCTGGGGTAACCACACCCCTATCTTCAGAGATGCAGGCATGCAGCTAAAGGCCTACTCCTACTATGACCCCAAAACCTGTGGCTTTGACTTTAAAGGAGCCTTGGATGATATTTCAGTAAGAAAAATGTTTTTATATCTTGTACTTTTTGGGGATAAACATTGTACATTTGTTGCATTTTAGCTCATCTTTTCTTTTGATCCCCTTTTTCTCTGCATAGTCAAGTACTAATAAAGTGTGTGGGGGATCCTACAAATGAAATAAAATTTATGTATTTTTTTAATAATAATCGCTTTCAGAAAATCCCTGAGAAGAGTGTGATTGTTCTGCACGCGTGCGCTCATAATCCCACAGGAGTGGACCCAAGGCCCGAGCAGTGGAAAGAGATGGCTGCTTTGATCAAGGTAACTGGATTTGGCATTAAATTAATGTCCAAAATCCAGCTGACCGCAGGTCTCAGAAAAGATTCTCAGTGAAGTGACAGAGAGATATAGTTGTGTTTGACCAGTTGGACCGATAAAAGAATGACTGTCCTCAGTCTCAAATGAATGACGGTTTCAGTGATAATAAGTGTCTTCACTCTCATTTCAACAGAAAAGAAATCTCCTGGTGTTCTTTGACATGGCTTACCAGGGATTTGCCAGTGGCGACATTGATCGTGACGCCTGGGCTGTGCGTTATTTCATTGAGCAGGGGCACAACGTTCTTCTGTCCCAGTCTTTTGCTAAGAACATGGGCCTGTATGGTGAGAATCAAATATATTAAATATATAAAAATATATAAGGCTGCATTTATTTGATCAAAAATACAGTAAAAGCAGTAATTTTGTAAATATTATTACAATTTCAAATAAATTTAGCAAAGCTACATTTTCAGCAGCCATGACTTAATCCTTTAATTTTTTATTTTTAGCTCAAGGTACATTTTATTATAGTCAATGTTGAAAACAGTTGTTCTGCTTATTATTTTAGTGGAAACTACATTTTCTCTCAGTATTCTCTGTTTATTAGAAAGTTCAAAAGAACAGCATTTATTTTAAATATAAATCTTTTTTAACATTATAAATGTCTGTACTGTCACTTTTGATCAATTTAATGCATCCTTGCTGAATAAAAGTATTCTGTTCTTTAAAAAAAAAAAATCTTACTGACCCCGAACTTTTGAATAGCAATGTAAGTGTATTTTTACTTATCACGCAGGTAAAATTTTGTTCACTAGTTTTTAACTTGTTTATACTTAAACAAGTGAAAAAAATCTGTTTCTTCTTGAGTAAATGTGTCCTGCTTTGAGATATATAGGCCCGGTTTCACAGACAGGGCTTAGACTAAGCCAGGATTAGGCCATAGTTCAATTAGGACATTTAAGTAATTTGTATAAACATGCTTAGAAAAAACATTACTGGTGTGCTTTTTGAGACAAAACAAAGGCACTGACATATTTTAAGATCAGTCAGTGCAAGTTTCTTTCAGTTGAAACCGCTCAGACTTACATTTTAGTCTAGGACTAGGCTTAAGCCTTGTCTGTGAAACCGGGGGATAATGTTTTTATATTTTAACTGCAATATTATTATTATTAATAATACTTTAAAATAGGAAAGTCAGTGCTCTGTACCTTTGTGTCTTCAGGTGAGCGTGTAGGGGGCTTCACGGTGGTCTGTAAGGATGCTGAAGAGGCTAAGCGTGTGGAATCCCAGCTGAAAATTCTCATACGGCCCATCTACTCCAATCCCCCTATGAATGGAGCTCGTATCGCCTCCACGATTCTCAGCACACCTGAACTCTACAAAGAATGGTGAGTCCTGAGATAAAGTCCCATCACAAACAATGAGCCAATGAGAACTGAGCTCTACAGACTTTACTGTAAGTAAAAACTGGTTTACTGTTTTTCTCTTAGGCTCGTGGAGGTGAAAGACATGGCCGACCGCATCATTAAGATGAGGGAGATGCTTGTGTCGAACCTGAAGAAGGAGGGCTCCACTCACAACTGGCAGCATGTCACTGACCAGATCGGAATGTTCTGCTTCACAGGGCTCAAACCGGAGCAGGCAAGTCAAGTGAAAGTGCATTCTGGGAATCTCTGATAAGGCCTCAGTTATTTTCACTATCAGCCTTTTCTCACTGGCTTTTCTCTGCTTGTCTTCTTTATGGCTGTTTGTCAGGTGGAGCGTCTGATTAAAGAATTCTCTATATACATGACAAAAGACGGCCGGATCTCTGTGGCTGGTGTGACGTCTGCAAACGTGGGATATCTAGCGCATGCCATCCACGCTGTTACCAAGTGAAGCTGGCACTAGGGACTATAGTTGCAGCAGACAGAGAGCAAGAAAAAGTAATTTAGATGATTCAAAAGTCCTCTGCTGCATGTCTTTTAGGACCAGATATGAAATAGAACTAATGTAGACTTCCAGTTCACTTGATTTGGTGTTAATTCATGACTCTGAATGTGAGCCCCTCAATGAATTAAGGCAGGATTCTTCCTTTTTAAAAATGATAAAAACGAGCTTTAAAGAATATCGCTTATCATGATTTGTCAGAACTGATAAGAATGTTTTTTTTATGGTACAAAATGTTCCAATAGATCAGTTAACAACAATTAAAAATCATGTTTTTGTTTTTAGAACAATAACTCTAAATAAGAGTGATTGAATGATTACCCTATATGCTTTACGTTAGAGAAATCACTGAAAGGAGTAAACCAGATTTCATGGTTGGACATTAATTGCAAAAACCTTCAAGGACTGTAACCAGTTTATCATGGTCATTTCACCTAGAGGTGCATAAACTATTATACTAATCAAAATGATGATTTGGCACCAAAGGTCTTTACGCAGTAACACATTCTTAGACATGTTTATGACTATAAGGGACTTATTCTATACTGAGCTACTGAAAGCTTACTTCTAGTGATGAAGGATTGCCCATAGTGTTAGTGTCTAGTATTTCCCAAATGTTACACATAAATCATTTAATAAATTATTAGGCATAAACACAATTGTTTGTTTTATCCTGGCCATTAAACTTAATCTGTCACTGAATCTGTGGAAAATCGACTTAAGATTCATTTTTGGGATGAAAACTGAACACATACTATAACTGATATTTCAGTGGTTAAGTGATGCTTTAAGAAAAGCTTTGCGTGTTTAATGTGTGTGGATGCTGATTATGTGAATATGCAGTTTGTTCTGTTTTGAAAAACTGTTCATATATATGTATAACTAATTATTGTGTTCCTAAAGCAAATTGAGCGATACATTAAATTTCTCCAGAAGTTCTCCGGAACAGACAACGAAATGAAATGTCACGAGTGATAGCCTACTGTATGACTCTTTTTAAACAATGAACAAAAAAATAAAGGCGAGCTCAACGAAAAATCACGTGTTTAATTATTTAGGGAAATCTTGTGTAAAAAAAAAAAAAACACATTTTGTGGGTCACAAGATCGTATTTTATAATAAAGTTACTTAAATGAAATATGGTAAAGCTGAGTTTTAATTATTATTATTATTGCAGAACTTATGAATACATACGAGAGCAGGGAAATGAGACATGGTTATATCTCCTACAAAAAAATAAAAACAATCATAGTAACAAAAACAGAGAACTAATCATTTGGGTTTGCGCACATCAAGTTATGGCATTATCTACACGGGAAAAAAGAAAAAGAAAAGAAAAGCATTACAACCTATCTTTTTCTCTCATTTTAAATAGTCATAATGCATCAAAAAAAATTGCACTTTTTTGTCTAAAAAAAGTCTAAGCGATGAAACGAGTCAAATTCAGCAAGAAAAAGGGGAAACGAGGAGATTTAAGCCATTTTTGTTTATGACTAAAGAATTTTGCATTCAATATAAGGAAATTAACAACATATACAACAGGTAATCGCTTTGGATTTTCATAAAAAATAACTAGTAAAGCGGAGCTTTACGCAATGGAGTGACGCAGTGGAGACAGCTGATTCCCTGATCACGTGACTCAAGACGAGACTGTCATCAAGCTGTTATCTAACTTATATCGTCTCGTTCAGGATAGGAAATTGAACTCGTATTCTCGAATAAAGTGACAAAATGACTCATGCGTTTAAAAACTGTTCAAACCTAATGGTCACCGGAGCCAGTCGAGGTCTCGGGCTGCAGATAGTTGAGAGTCTGGTAACGGGAGGCTTCTCTCCCGGGAAGATTATTGCTACAGCTCGCAATCCAGATGGAGCCAAGGTAATGCTTTGAGCAGACAGCAGTATGTGCATTAGGCCTACTATACAAACATTAGAAACCAGCCCCAGATCATTTACAGTCATATTAGCTGCAGGAGAATGTGCACATGCGTAGTTGAGAGTTACGATCAACATGCACTATCGTATTTTAAACATTAACATTTTAGGTTGTTATTGATCTATAATGATAAGTGTACGTATGATTTACCTTTTATCTTTTTAGTGATAAATTAATTTGTAAAAGAATAGATATTGCATGTGGTTTAATTAATACGCGGACCTAAAAGCCGCACGTGTGATAATTATAAAAGAAAAAAAAGTTTAACCTGTCTGTTTTACAATAGGAATTGCAAAGTTTGGCAGAAGAGCATCAAAACATACACATAATTAAACTGGGTAAGTACTTAAGCACTATCTAGTCTGGATCAGTAGCTCTTGGCTAGTTTTGGTTCATGACCATTTTTTTTTTTTTTGGTCATTAGGTGGCGAGCTAACACAACACACTTTTTTATTGTGCAAAAAATCCTTCAAGGGATGAATTAAAGGATTAACATTACCATGAACTACCATGAAATTGACAGTTTTATAAATATTTAAATAACAGCAAATGTGTTTGCCTTAAACTTAATGTAAATAGGGAAGGGTCAGATTTTCTTTTACCATTCATTATTTTCTCAATGGTTTAGTGGATGAGGGCATGTTGACTAGTTGTTCTCCCTTCCGTGGAGAGAAGAAAAAAAAAACTTTTTGGGTGGTGACACCAGTTATTAACAGCAGATCTAAAAGAAGCTGTATTTGAAATTAAAGTTTGTTTTTACCTGACTCTGTTGTGTTAATCGTGAACATCTTTGTTACTAGATGTTACAAGTCAGGAGAGTATAGAGAGAGCTGCATCTGAGGTGGAACAGCTTGTTCAAGAGGCGGGTCTCAACTGTCTCATCAACAATGCTGGAATTAATGTAGTTGCCAACCTTGAGACAGTCACTGCAGACAAGATGTTGGAAAACTTCCATACCAACTCTGTTGCCCCGTTGATGATCACCAAGGTTTCATTTTGCAAATTAAATCTACAAACAATATATGCACATATGTACGCTCATCACAAACATTTCTAAAACCTTACTGACTTACAGAACTTGTCATGCAGGCCATGCTCCCACTGCTGAAGCGAGCAGCTGCAAAAGAAATGGGGATGGGCATCCACAGAGCAGCAGTCATCAATATGACGTCTCTACTGGGTTCAGTTGAGCTCTACTGGGGTGATCGTGCCAACAGTTTCAAATGGTACCCCTACAGAACATCAAAGGTTTGTGATATTGTGTTCCTGGAGCTCAATTTCAAGATAAAAGTTTCCCTGAGAAGGGACTAAGTAATATAAGTGTATACTCTGAAAGTCGATTTGGATATGTTTATATTTATATTTATATATTTAATCCTTTTGTTGAAGCACTGTTTTCTATGGAAGCCCGTTTTCGCAACGGAATAAAAATTTTTTTAAAAACAATTTTTCTCGCAATTTCTTTTAAAAAAAGTCATAATTGCGAGATATAAACTCAGAATTGCTAAATGTTAACTCAAAACTGCAAAATATAAACTTAGTTCTGTGAAGTAAAGTCTGAACTACGAGATATAAACTCACATTTGAGAGAAAAATGTATTTATATCTTCTTCATATCTTGCAATTCTCACTTTTTTCTCAGAATTCTAAAAATCACAATTGCTTTTTTTTATTCTGTGGCAAAAACAGGCTTTCATTTCTGTATTGAAGGCTTTAATAGTATGTCTGTGAATATATCAGTTGAGATATTGAGTTGCATTTGCTTTATATCAGAGTGCACTGAACATGGTCACCAGATGCTTGGCAGTGGACCTGGAGGCAGATGGGATCCTGTGTATGGCTCTGCATCCAGGCTGGGTACGCACTGATATGGGTGGACCTGAAGTGAGTCTCATTCTTCTATTTGTTCTTTATCACCGCTACTTGCGAATCAAACCGTTACAAAACATCTAAAACGAGTGATAGACTCTTGTGGTTTGTTGATTGTTTTCTATTCAGGCACCATTGAGCCCTGAGGAAAGCATATCCTGTGTGTTGTCTGTGATTGGTGGTTTGACTGAAAAGGATCATGGGTCATTTCTTCACTATACTGGTGAACAGCTACCCTGGTGATGCTGCTGATGTTTTTTAGATGCAAGCAATAGAAGCTTTATTATTGTTTTGCTAGATATATATATATATATATATGTAGGGCTGCACGATAAAGCCCTAATATAATGTATACAGTATGTACTGTTTGTGTGTCAAAGACATTAAGATGTCCGCATCAAAAGAAATTTACAAAAGTGATTTTATGTCCATAGAAAGCACATTAAATGTAAGTAAAGTGTCTACTTTTAAGGTTTCAAATAAGTTTTTGGAGAATAAAATGTCGAAAATATTTATAAAAATTCAAACAACATGCTTATTCTGACGTGTACATATTAAAATATATAAAAGAATAAGGGAGCATATAAAATTTGATTGTGTTTTAAATTAGTAAAATAAATCTTACTGACAAATGGGCAAAACCTAGGATAGTGGCAAATTTAAAAAATGTAAAATTACAACTAATTAGTATTTGGGGTGAAAGTAATTAGTCTTTTAATATGTAAAAAATGTACTTTTGTTGTAAATATGCCTGACAAGATTGTTACACTGAATGACATTTTAGTGGGTCAGAAAATGTAGTAATTTTTGGGGGGAAAAACAACAACAATTTAAAGCAGTATTACACTTATTGTTTTTATGCTTAAACCCTTTTTCGTCTTTGACCCATGTATGTACGTATATTAACATGTTTAATAATCAACATTCTTGTTCAGGGTTATTTTTTTCCTGCTTATGAAATGCTATTTTAATATTTGGGATGGTGAATGTGACGACAAACAGAGTGGATCATGATTAAATTATTGTGACATATTGGCATTGAAAGCATTGATAACATCATGCTTGGTAAATAATGAACAAATTTTTCACCACTTTTTCTTGTTTAACTGCAGCAAACAGCCACAATTCTGAATGTTATTCACAAGTTAAGCTCTCTTTATAAATGACAGCAGGGTATGACAGTCCCTCAAGGACAAGAAAAACTACCTTTCATCCTATTTATCATTTATTTTATTATAGTTTTGTAAAGCGTAAAAATGTGTTGTAGAAGGCATTTCATTTGAAAAGTTGTATTGACATTAAATTAGTTTGCTATTATTGTTAACTTTAAGTAATAAAACTGTATATGTATGAATAAAGCTGTATTTAGTAACATTTTGAATATTCTGATTTACTTTTCTAATAATTGTATTGTCTCTTGGTGGCAGAATGGTTATTTCTTTACTCAATTTTGAAGACATAACTGTTTTCTTATGCAGCCTTTCAAGTAAATAAACAGTTCAGCTTAGTTCATATTTTTATGTTTAGCTATATCTCATTGCACAGTGCAGTTATGTCAGTTATACTATTATAAATTACTGCATCATAACAATCATCTGTTTTTATTGCAGTATAGAATCACCTACAGTTTTTTTTTTTTGTGTGTAGAATGACATTTCTATGAATATTATTTTGTTCTAAGGCAAATAGAGGTTCTCCTGTCTACAATACTGACACTCTTTTCCATAAGCAATTATCTTATCTCACAAGCTGTGGCTATTTGGATACAGGCAGTGATAAACTGGCCATTGAATTTGCACGGTGTAATAGTAAAGAAGAAGAAGAGAGCTAGAAGAAGAAGAGAGCAGTTCTACATTTACCAGTGAAACACATCGTATCCATCTAATGTTTCAACTGTAGATTCATGAAGGCAGCACAGATGAAGCCTGTTTAATAAGACCTGAATGAACAAGTGATCAAACAGGTTTGCCCTTGTGTTTGCTGATCATCTGTCAGGTGATCGCTCTCAACTACGTCTGAATATGGATCCGCTCCGGTCGTAGTTTATTCCCAAAATGGAACTAATGGAGGAAAATTAAAGCTTGAAAAGGTAGGGTTTATGCCTTTGGTTCTTTTATTAGAGTTTTACCTTTTATAAAATAAACTTAGTACATCAAAACCTGCGAGAATCCACCCTTGTCTTTCCCTGAACAGTATCTTAAAATAGACAGACATATTACATAAAAATACTTCATGAACTATGTATTTTATACTTTATATATTATGAAAAACACTATATTATTAATAGTATATATTATATAAATCTGATTCTTGTCAGGTTAAATATGAATATCAACCAATATAAATAAGTAACTTTATGTCCTTCATTTCCAGGCCTGTCCGTGGCAGAAAGACATGATTTTCTTTGCCGTTTTGGGTTTGTCCTTTAGAGAAATTCAACTGTCATTCTCAGAGGAATTGGAATATAGTATTTTGGGCATATCTGTTGTCCTTTTCCTTATAGCCCTCTGCCTCCTGCTATGGCAGATTTACCGCCACTGTACACGGTTTCCTGTTTCACAAAGACCTGGTAAGTTACCATGCAAATGAACTGGTTGATTTTTATATTTGACCTAATATTACACAAGATTATATTATTAGAAACAGGTGTAGTTTTAGATAAGCATTTAGTATTTGTGGCTTAGATGCACAGTTTTGTATAAGAGGTATGACATTTTTTATTATATCTACAGTACTGTTCAAAAGTTTGGGGACAGTAAGATATTTTTGTTGTTGTTGAATACTTGAAATGAATTCTTTCATTGACAAAGGATGCACTGAGTTGATCAAAAGGGGCAGTAAAGACATTTATGTTACAAAAGATTTTTATTTCAAATACATTGCTCTTTTGAACTTTCTATTCATCTAAAAATTTGAAATGTATTATGGTTTTAACAAAAAATATTGATAAACACCAAATCAGCATATTAGAATGATTTCTGAAGGATCATGTGACACTAAAGACTGGAATTTGTGATCAAATAAAATGCAGCCTTGATTAGAATAAGAGACTTCTTTCAAAAACATAAAAAAAATCTAATGCTAAAAAAAATAAAAATCACATGCTAATGGGGTTTATGCAAAATATCTATCAACATCTATTTGATTCTAGTGAATATTTTGTTAGCAGATGGCCTGTTGGCTAGGAGCGGAGGTTTTCAGTATGCTACACAAACAAATGACGCTAAGGTAAGATTCATTTACATAAGCCATCACTATCTTCATAACCTGGAATTCATCCATTTTGTACTGTGTTTGCTTGCTTAGTTTTTGCTTGCTTTGACCTAGATCAAACAAAATGGATGAAAAAGATGTTTCACAGATGGTTTGCTTTGGTTGCCAACCGCATGTGTGTATTTCTAAATATCCAATAACACTATGTGACTATGCTAGAAAATTAGACCTGATACACACTCTGTCCATCAGATGGAGGTTCATTATGAGGAACTGAGCCACCGCCTGTCCCCTGGCACCTCTTACACTAACCTGGGCAGTAGTTTAGATCTAGCAAGCATAGCAGATCTGGAAGAGGAGAACATCCAGGGATCTCTGCGCTTTTCACTGTTCTACGATCAGTTGCAGTCTAGACTGGTGGTGACGGTGCTGGATGCCCAGGATCTAGCCGTGCGTGACTCAAGTCATAGTGTGGACCCATTTGTTTGGGTGCGGTTGCTGTGGGCAGAAAGAGAGGATGAGGAGCAGAGTTCAATGCAGTGTGTTCTGGACGAATGGCAGACACGTTTAGTGAAGAAGAGCTGCAGTCCTGTGTTTGGAGATCAGTTCTCTTGCACTCTGGCTGAAGAGGAAGTATCAAAAGTCACTGTTAGATTTGAGGTACGTAATGGGCCTTACATCTTATTTTATTGTGACGCATTAATTCACTTTGGATTGTTTGTTTTAGGTTAGGGATTTAGATAAATACTCAAGACATGAAATTCTAGGAGAGGCCCGTGCCCCCCTTAACAGTCTGAAGCTCTCATATCCCCTGGAGTTAAGAGAGGAACTGCAAGTACCCAAGAAAGTAAGTTTTATAGTAATATGTTTTATTTATATAGCGCCTTTCAAAAACCCAAGGATGCTTTACATAAAGTTGACAGATAACATGAACACAAATACAAATATACAGTTGCATGATCAAACAAATAGGCAGACAGATCTTATAGTGTACAAGATAAGTAACAAAAGCAAGCATGGAACTGAAAAACGTGGCAGACAATCAATTAACAAAACATATTGTAAATAAGTGAGTTTTGAGATCAGTTTTAAAGCTCTGGAGTGAAGAGACAGCAAGGAAGTTTTGAGGAAGTTTGTTCCAGAGCTTAGGAGATGAAATGCTGAAAGCCCTGCCACCCACACAAGATAGTCGGAAGTTAGGTAACTGCAAACAAATTCCCAGAACTCAATCTCCGAGTACGAGCAGGGGTTAATTAATTCAGAAAGGTAAGAAGGTGCAGAACAATGAGAAGCTTTGAAAACTAGGATGAGTATCTTAAACTGAATATGATAGATAACGGGGAGCCAATGTAATTGCTGTAAGATAGGAGTGATGTGGGCTGATTTTCTGGTAAATGTAAGGCCACGAGTAGCTGAATTTTGAATTAGCTGCAAACGATCAAGGGCTTTGTTGGGTAGGCCATATAACAAGGAGTTACAATAGTCCAGGCGTGAAGTTATAAAAGCATGAATAACAGTTTCAGCATCTTTGAAATTTAGTGAGGGTTGTATATGGACAATATTGCGAAGATGGAAAAAAACAGGACTTGACAAGCTAGTTGATATGGGGTTCAAAGCATAGTGTGGAATCAAATAGTACACCAAGATTACGTATAGTGGGGGAGGGATGAACTATAGCTCCGGGGTGAACCAAGGGGAAGAGTAAGCTAAGCCTTAAGGGGACAGTTCTGGTCTTTAATGGGGCCAGAGCCTCCAAGACATTATATGTAGATTCATTATATAATGAGAGAATCTCACCAGGACAAAAGAGATAATCAGAGAGAGACAAAGAGGAGGCAGCAATAACAGTACAGAAATATTCAGTACTTATGTTTTTCATGTTTCGGTAGGATATTGTAGATTTAATTTTAGGTTTTACAAGGGAGAGAGAAAAACTGAAGTCAATGAGATTATTGTCAGATATGCTAACTTCGAGACCCTGGACACAAACATGGTCAATGCCAACAGAGCAGATTAAATCAATGGTATAAGAATGAGAATGTGTAGGAAAATCAATGTGCTGTGATAAATCAAAATAATCTAGTATAGCCATA